CCTCCCCAACCTCCTTACTGTCTGACTCTGCATCCAGCTCTGCTGGCCGTTGGTGGACCATAGCATAAAGTTGCAATAGCAGCAAGGATAATTTCAGCAATTACTTCTGAATAATACCCAGGAATGTTCTTTTCCATTTTCTCATGGTCAGTACCTCTTCACAAGCTAGCCATTTTTCCTTGGTCCATAATAAAGTGATAAAAGTACTAATGCATCTTTCTCAGGATGCCTGGTTATAATCCAGGCAGTTGTACCACCTGGGCCTTCTGACGGTCTTAGCATGAATCCTTCTAAAGGAAAGTCATCTTGCAAAGCCATTGCTTCCTGAATTGTCCTACGTCTCCAGTCTGATGGCAAAGAGAGAGGATAGCTGGTTAATTTTGGAAGTAGCAGTTCCTGCCTCAAATAGAGAAGGATTCATGCTAAGACCGTCAGAAGGCCCAGGTGGTACAACTGCCTGGATTATAACCAGGCATCCTGAGAAAGATGCATTAGTACTTCTATCACTTTATTATGGACCAAGGAAAACTGGCTAGCTTGTCAAGCGGTACTGACCATGAGAAAATGGAAAAGAACATTCCTGGGTATTATTCAGAAGTAATTGCTGAAATTATCCTTGCTGCTATTGCAACTTTATGCTATGGTCCACCAGCGGCCAGCAGAGCTGGCAGCAGAATCAGACAGTAAGGAGGGTGGGGAAGAACATGGGCCAGTCCTGGAGGCTGGGGAAGGCTCAGACAACGGCTCTGCATCGGAGGCAGAGATGGGGCCAAGGCCATCTGGCAGTTCTCAACTGCCTTCAGAGCTAGATAGCAGTGAGGCAGAGAAACCTGTTCCCAGTATGCACATGAGCAGAGCTGCCAGAAGAAAAGAACAACTAAGAAATCAGGGTCAACTAGGGAATAAAGCCACAGATGGACAGTGAATGTCCCCTCCCATAGGAAATAAGAGGAGCAAAGGGGGAATGGGCTTTTGCAGGAAACAATTTCTTCCTTTGGTCATTAGATCCATTTCAGGAGTGTGAAGATCTGTCCGTGGATCTTAGAGATTCTGTGCCAAGTCTTTCCCTGCACAGCACTGCATTTGGAAAATATTTACAGTACATGGCAGCTTTTCAAAGTAGATAACGTCTGTGGTCATAAATTCACCTTTGAAAGACTGTTTGCCAGGCCTTTGCTGAATGTGAATGAAAGGAGTTCACACTCGTTTAATAAAAGGGGTTTTTGTCAGGACCAGGAACCTGCCTCGTCCTTTTTGGGGAAGCCTAGGTCAGAACATTCTGATGGGACCCCACAGTTCTGTTTTTCCACCACAGCTGAAGCCATTCAAAGCTGGCCAGCAAAGATGTTCCCGATAAGAGCCAGATTTTGGGGGACAATATGCTTATTCTGTAAACCGCTTAGAGAGGCTGTCCTCCTCCTGTGTTTTGTTTTTGATCTTTGTTAAATCCTGCTGAGAGTGAAATATATGTTTGACATGACATGTCTTGACAGCAAGAATTATATTTGCACAGCACTGGAAAAATGAGGAAAGACCTACAGAAGAATTAAAAACTAGACTGTGCAGAAATGGACTGGTTTGAGATTAAAGATAAAAGAAAAAGAAAATACCGAATATTTTGAAACATGGGACTTGTTTTACCAATGGTTGGATAATAGAGGTAGAAATTAGAAACTGGAAAAATACTATTATGGAAGCAAACTGACTCAGACAACATGCTGTTCAAAAAGCACATACTATTTATGTTAAGAAAAAGTGTATAAATAAACTGTTTTTTTAAAAAAAAAACCTGAACAGCCCTCTCTCAACAGAGGGGGAGGGATACGATGTCACCTACCTCCAGTCTACAACACAGTCCTTTCAGCAGTTCCAAGATGGCTCCACACCCATTAGCCCTACTTCTCAGAGGTCAGGTGATGAGCTCATTCCTGGCACATCAGCAACTGGGTTAATTAATGACTCTGAACATCCACCCAAAAGATAGGTGGCTTCAGCTGAGGACAGCTTGCAGGAGCAGAGGGTCAGTGAAGAGGAGGAGGAGCTGCCTTCTGTTGTGGATCCGAGAGCACACAAAGCAGAGAAAAGACAAGAGCAACAGAGATCTGCCAGATTACTCGGGAGAAGGCCCCGCCCATCTTGATGGGCTGCACCAGCAGGCAGAGGGAGGCATTGCTGGGAACAAGGTTGGGTTCTGGATGTATGTTTATTCCTCATGCTTCCTGTTTGACTTTGTGCCTTGGAGACTCTGAACTTCTCTTTGCAAGTGAGCTCTTGGGGCTGTATTTCAGTTTGGCCTGGTGGGTGTAAGTTTGTTTGGTGGACTTATATGTTGGAGCAACTTTCCATTGTTTTATGGACTATTGGCCATTGCAGACTAATCGGTCTGCTTGTGGGTGGCATTATTTGGGACAGTTCTGAGGCTGGGGGAAGGGAATTGCTGGGGAATAGTCATAAAATCTCTAAGCCGCACTTACAGTATGTGTGTGATAGAGAGTGAGTGAGTGAATGGGGCAGCGCACTGATCTTTTTCAGGGGCAGGATTATGGATTTTCTAGTGCTTCCCAGATCATTTGTTGGACATTTCCTTGATTCCTGAGCCCCTGATCTTTTCTCCTCTGGAGTAAGTCCACTGAGGCCAAAGAGGCTCCTTCCCAAACAGGAATGTGGGCCATTTTGAGACTTACAGGAAATGGATAAATGGCTGCATAGTTTCTTCCTCCTTTCGACCCACATGTTCAAAGTGCTGTTTGTGGGGAAAGGGCTTGTGGAGCTGATGGGTGAAACTCTCTCTCATCCACACCAGCTCAGCCAACACAGAAAAACCTAGGGGTGGGGGTGGGAGGTGTCACTGGTGTGTTTGTTTCACTTACATCTCAGGAAGAGAATCACAGCTCCCAAGATTAAGACTGCTACAATTCCCACCGGAATCAGCCACCCTGTAGCTAAAGAAAGAGAAACATGGTTTCGATTAGACAGATAGTAATAGCATTAGACTTATATACCGCTTCACAGTGCTATACAACCCTCTCTAAGCAGTTTACGGAGTCAGCCTATTGTCCCCCAACAGTCTGGGTCCTCATTTTACCCACTTCGGAAGGATGGATGGCTGAGTCAACCTTGAGCCTGGTGAGATTCAATCTGCCAAACTGCTGGCAACCGGCAGTCAGCAGAAGTAGCCTGCAGTATTGCACTTTAACCACTTTAACATCATGGCTCCTGAGATCCTGAGTTCCCTGGAGGTGCTGAGCAATGCAAGCATTTCTCAAGCTGCACTGGCCTCTAGGAATTGCCCTCAGCTGAAGGAAGCCTTCCTCCTTCAAGGCCATTCCGTCTGACCCCTGCAGCCTTGGAGGGGAGGGACTTCCTTCAGGTGGGGGCACTTCCTGGGGGTTGCAGAAGGCTGAAGAAAAGGCCTTGAGGGGCAGAAGGAAGAACCACAATCAAGGCAGCAGTCAGATAAGGAAGACTTGAGCCTAAGTCAAGAAATCAGTTTAAGGAAATGTGGCAAAAGGGCCCTTATCAGATAATCCTCCCAGAAAGCAAACATTGTTTCAGCTTCATAGTTTAGATATATTATGAAATAATGTTTCATAATATAAAACAATGTTTCATAATATAAAAGTTATAAAACAATTTTCTGGGAAACATCTTCGCACAGATAACAGGGAGTCCTGTAGAACCCCGAAAAAACAGTAAAGTGACCTTTCTTTCTTTCTTTCTTTCTTTCTTTCTTTCTTTCTTTCTTTCTTTCTTTCTTTCTCTCTCTCTCTCTTTCTTTTCCTTTCCTGCCTTCCTTCATTTTTCTTTTTCTCTTTTACTTTCTTTTACTTTCTTCTTTTTCTTTCTTTCCCCCTCTCTCTTTTTCTCCCTCCCTCTCTGCGTTGCAACATCTTATGACAACCAAAAGCGATTTACAGGCCATAAGGCACCACTTCTGGGGCTGTTGTGATTTCATGTGGCTGTTAAATGACCATTCTTAAGTCCCAGACTACCTGTATACTATACCAACCCTGCCCTGCCCTAACCTACTAGAGAAGATCAACCCTGACTGCTCTTTAGAAGGCCAGATCCTGAAGATGAAACTCAAGTACTTTGGCCACCTAATGAGAAGGAAGGACTAACAGAAGAGCTTAATGCTGGGAATGACAGAGGGCAAAAGAAGAAGGGGACAGCAGAGAAGGAGGTGGCTGGATGGAGTCACGGAAGCAGTCGGTATGAGCTTAAATGGACTCCAGAGGATGGTAGAGGACAGGAAGGCCTGGAGGTATATTGTCCATGGGGGTCACAATGGGTTGGATATGGCTTCACAGCTAACAACAACAACAAGCTAAACTAAGATAAGATAAAATAAAATAAGACAAACTAAGATAAACTAAGCTAAGATAAACTAAGATAAGATAAACTAAGATAAGATAAACTAAGCTAGGCTAGGCCAACCTATCCTATCCTGTTCCACCCTACCCTATCATATCTTCATACCTTTGTCCTCAAATTCCCACTTCCATCCAGCCCCCCGCCCTGTCAAAAATCACTTCTCTCCTATCACTAAATGCAGGATGATACTTCCTGTTCTCCACCTTGAGATGATACAGCAGGAAATGTAACATCCCTGCACTTTCCAGCATTGCTGGAGTATCTATTTCTACAGGTCCCAAAGGTGCCTAAGAAAGCCCAGATGCCTTTTGAAAAGCACCTTTGGGACAACCATGACCCAGATGGTTGAGAATCTCCACAGATACGTCTACATGTCATAATCACTCAGCCTCTCACCTGTTTCCTCCTGGCAGGCCAAGACCAGTGGCTCCTGCAAGGCATCATGTTCCAGGTGACAGCTAAAACGATCCCTCTCCTTGGGATCGATCTCAATGCTGATCCAGACATAATAAGTCCCATCTGAGTTGGGGGCCACAGTTCTACGGAAGGTCTCTTGTTCCCAGTTCTCTCCATCCCTGGTCCAGGTGGCCTGGATCTCCTTGGGATAGAAGCCATAGGCCTGGCAGATGAGGACCTCCAGGCTGTCATCAACCAGTTTGTGAGTCACCTTCCCCACTGGGGGTTCTGCAAAAACAGCAACAACAGGGTTCCTGGGATTTTCTGGCCAAGTAATTTAATAACAGCGAAGACCTTAACTGGTCATCCTCTCCCATTGCTCCTTCTCTTCTCCTGAGCCTATGGGACCCTCAAAGCTCTTTACATTCAATTTTTGAAAGGGATGCACAGAAGTTTGGATGAAGTTCTCACACTGACATAAATAATTGTAATGCTCAGGGTTTGATTCAGTTTTGACATCACAAACTGAATGTATTCAGGAACAGCCTCATCTTTCGGTTTGGGAATGGGACAACTTGCCACAGCCAACCCATCATGGCCAACCCACCATGGCCAACTCACACCAGCCAACTTACCACAGGACAACGCAACACAGCCAACTCATTGAGGGATGAGTCACCATGGCTAACTTACTGCGGGACAACTTACCGCAACCAACTCATTGCACAATAACTCACCACGGCCAATTCACTGTGGTACAACTTACCATCGCCAACTCAACACAGCCAACTCAACACAGGACAACCTGCTGCTGCACAATTTAACAATTCTATTGAATTATTTACAACAAATAAAGATGATTTTAATTTTTGCCATTCACATTTCATTCTGTCCCTCCCTTTTCCATCCTTTCTTTAATGATTCTATTCCACCATTTCTTTGATATTAGTCTAACTTTTGTCCCACAGTGAGTTATCCTGCACCGAATTGGTTGTGGCGAGTTGTCATGCAGCAAGTTGGCCATGGTGAGTTGGCTGTGATGAATTGTTCATGGCGAGTTGGCCATGGTGAATAGTGATAGACCCTTTAGTTCAGTCCCAAAATGCAGGATGTGGGAATTACAATTTATTCTGCTTTACAAGATTTCCTCATGGAAATACAAATGGATCTTAGCCTTCATTTCTTGCTTAATAGGTTTTCTTGTTTTTTCTTAGATAAACTTATTTTAGGGAGCATTGAAAATTATTTCCCCCATTATCGTACAGTAGTCTGAATACTCTGAATAGGGACGTGGTGGCTCAGTGTCTAAGATGCTGCTGCCTCTGTTTCTCCGCCCTCCATTGCCTAGAATCAGGGAGAAACTCCCTTTGATCTTCCCCACTGCTCCATGCCTCAGGCGCCTCCTGG